AGGTATCCCAAATCGACACACGATGTGATCCCAGATGAAGTCAATAACTTCTTTTTCTATGACCTTTTCGAAGGCCTATGCTTTCACCCATTTAGAAAAGTATTCAGTCATAAACAAAATGAATTTTGCTTTACCTGGGGCCGTTGGTAGAGGACCGACGATGTCCATTCCCCATTTCATGAAAGGCCATGGGGACAGGACTGAGTGAATTTTCTCTCCGGGCTGATGAATCATCGGTGCAAACCTTTGACATTTATCACACTTACTAACAAACTCCTTAGTGTCTTTTTCCATGCTATCCCAGTAATACCCTGCTCTAATAATTTTGCGAATTAAAGACTCGACACCGGAGTGATTTCCACAAGTTCCTTCGTGGATTTGTCGTAGAACATAATCGGTGTCCCCTGGCCCTAAACATACCGCCAATGGTCCATCGAACGTCCTCCGGTATAATGTTCCATCTTCATCCAATGTGAACCTAGCATCCTTGGTTCGTAGAGCCCTCGACTCTTTTTGATCCGATGAGAGCTTTCCATTTTTCAAATATTCGATATACTTATTCCTCCAATCCCAAGTCAAACTTGTAGAATTTATCTCGGCATGACCCTACTCGACCACAGATCTCGATAATTGGACGACATTCCCCGGGATAATATCATCTTCTTCAACTGGTGACCCCAAGTTAGCAAGTGCATCGGCCTCACTGTTTTGTTCTCGAGGCACATGATCTAGAGTCCACTCCTTGAAGTGGTGCAAGGTTACCTGTAGCTTGTCCAAATATCTTTGCATCCTATCCTCTCGAACTTCGAAGCTTTTGTTTACTTGGTTCACCACCAATAGAGAATTGCACTTGGCTTCAATGACTTCTGCCCCGAAGCTTTTAGCTAGCTTGAGAAACCTGCAATCATGGCCTCATACTCGGCCTCGTTATTAGTCAACCTAGAAGTTTTATTAGATTGTATAATAGTGTTACCTGTAGGTGGCTTCAAAATGATGCCAAGCCCGGACCCTTTCACATTCGAGGCACCGTCCGTGAAGAGGGTCCATACCCCCGATGAGGTACCCGATTTTAGCAGAAGTTCTTTTTCCACTTCGGGTACGAGGGTCGGTGTAAAATCGACCACGAAGTCAGCTAAGATTTGAGACTTGATGGCCGTTCGGGGTTGATATTCGATATCGTACCCGCCAAGTTCGACGGCCCATTTGGTCGATCGGCCTGATAACTCGGGCTTATGCAAAACATTTCGGAGAGGATAAGTGGTTAACACACATATCGGATGACACCGTAAATATGGCTTTAGCTTTCTAGATGCGCTTATTAATGCAAGTGCTAATTTTTCTAAGTGTGGATATCTAGTTTCACCATCTCCTAGTGTTTGACTTACGTAATAGACAGGGAATTGCGTACCTTGCTCTTCTCGAACTAGTACCCGACTTACCGCTATCTCGGATACTGCCAAATATAAGCTTTTTATCTACCTTCGGAGTGTGAAGCAGAGGTGGGCTCGACAAGTATCGCTTTAGTTCCTCCAATGCTTGCTGGCATTCCGGAGTCCATGCGAAATCCTTTTTCTTTTTGAGTAAGGAAAATAACATGTGGCTTCGATATGATGACCTCGAAAATGAATCGGCCCAAGGCGGATATCCTTCCTGTTAACCTTTTCACGACTTTCACACTATCTACGATAGTGATATCCTCAATGGACTTGATCTTGTCGGGGTTTATTTCGATTCCTCGATTTGATACCATGAAGCCAAGGAACTTGCCCGAACCGACCCCGAAGGCACATTTTTCTGGGTTAAGCTTCATGTTGTACTTCCTCAAGATTTTGAATATTTCTTGCAAATGAGTTAAATGGTCCTCTGCGCGCAGGGACTTAACTAACATATCATCAACGTAAACTTCCATTGATTTACCTATATGTTCCTCGAACATTTTGTTAACTGGGCATTGGTATGTAGCTCTAGCATTTTTTAACCCGAAGGGCATTACATTGTAACAGTATATTCCAAACATGGTGATAAACGAGGTCTTCTCCTGGTCCTCTGGGTTCATCTGAATTTGATTGTACCCGGAGTAGGCGTCGATAAAGGTAAGTATCTCGTGGCTGGCCTTGGTATCAATCATGCGATCGATGTTAGGCAGTGGAAAGGAGTCTTTAGGGCATGCCTTATTTAAATCCTTATAATCTACGCACATTCTAAGTTTGTTCCACTTTTTAGGGACTACAACTACGTTGGCTAACCATCGGGGTATTTACTTCCCGAATAGACCCTATTTTAAGAAGTTTAGGTACCTCATCCTTTATGAATGCATGCTTCACCTCGGACTGGGGCCTTCTTTTTTGCTTTACTGGTTTGAACCTGGGGTTGAGGCTTAGCCGGTGTGTCGTTATTTTCGGTGGGTCCCTGTCATGTCTAAATGGGACCAAGCAAAACAATCTATGTTATCGATAAGAAGTTGAATGAGTTTTTTCTTGAGTTTGGGGGTTAACCTCATTCCCAGGTATACCTTTATTTCGGGCTTATACTCAATTAGTATGACCTGTTCCAGCTCTTCGACCGCTGACTTGGTTGCATCAGACTCTTCGGGAACAACAAAAGTTCGAGGAGTAAGGAAAACATTTTCTTCTTCTTCGATTACCTATCTCTCCAATTCGGTATTTCCCCGTATAATTTGTCTTGATTGTGGGAGTAGTTTTACTCCAACTTCTTGTGCTAGTACACTCAGTGTATATTGAACGGACCAAGTAGAGAAAAGATGTTTTTGTACTGAATATATAAAATATTTTCTCCAATTCATTAAATGAGCTTATACTCCTAATCTTGATATAATTATTATGATCAATGTAATTTGTTTATTGTTTTGATTCATCAAAAGGTACGACTCTATTTAGAGTTAGTGTATGCCTAATAGATTAGACAATAACGAATAAACATTTGTGAATAATAGTTAGTTGATAGAATTCATGACTCGGTTTTGAGATTGATGATACCCCTTTATGTAAGCTTATAAGTTTTTATGTGAAAACCTGGCCGGTAGAAATTTTATCCGTCACATGAAATAGTTTAAGCGGAATTGTAAAGGATTTAATTAGTTGATTAAATTAAATTTTTCAGTGATTTAATTTAATTAACTGGTATTTGAGATCTTAACATGGAGAGTTAAAATAAGTGTTATTGAATTTACGAAATTCATATTGAGGAGTTCAATTGCAGTTTTTTAGTAGAATAAATTGCAATTAATTATAGTAAGAATTAATTCATGCTAATTTCGAATTAATGCTATAATTGGTAGCCTCTTATTATTTCTGTGGTCCCTGCTATACCTAGTAAAAACCTGGACAAGACTTGGGTAAAAAGTGACTTGGGAGAAAAGTCATGTAATAGAGTTGGAGTAGGATTCTACTTGTAGAAGGAGAATCCTACACGTTTTTGGAGCACAATTTAGGCCAAAAATAACTCTATTAAAGTAAGACTAATTTCACCCAATAACTCACTTTTTAGAGTTGTATTGTTCTTGCCACCCAAAAGCAAAAATCGTCCAAGGTTTTACTAGGCAAATAGCAGAAGACTGCAGCCCTGGATTCTTGCTGTTTGGAAGATCTGTGCAACTATTTCAAGAGGTTAGTGCTTTTAAACTCGTTATTATTGCGTTGTCTAGTTTACATGTATTTGATGCCTGGATTGTATGGTTGCTTCCGCTGCGGATGTTCTAACAATTGGTATCAGACGTCGTCTTGCATCTAAATAGATAATGTAATACAACATGAATAGAGTAAAACGTGTTGTTTATTGATACATGTTTGGTATGATTATTCTATGTCAAAAACGTGATTGTATTTATTAGTATTTTTATTCTGTAATTTTGAAATTATGAATTAATATATACATGTATAAACAGTGGTGTTATATGACAGTCTGTTTAGTTACGTTTTTTTTATCAAGAGCAATCTATTTTTTTTAATAAAAGCGTGACTGTTTTTGATTGCTATTAGTTCTGTAATATGGGTTAATATACATATGCACAAACAGTGAATTAATTCCATTAATCTGTTTTAGTTGCATTTTGTCCATAATTACAGTGTTATATTGATAAAACTTGACTGTTTTGTATGATATTAGTTCTGTAATTTTGGATTACTATACAGAATTATGAACAGTAGCGTTTTTGACTAGTGAAAAACATATTGTTTTTACAATTCTGTCTAAACACGTTTTTGTTAAATAAAAATAAAAAATATTATTTTGAGTTATGAAATCATGTGTTAACATACATCAGTATATTATGTGATTTGAACAAGTCAAAATAATAAAAGCCCTTAAAACGCCAAAACTGAATTCTAGAAATCGGTCTTGATTTTAGAATTCTGAAATTCTGTCGAACTCCGATTGACCTCAATTTGGTAGGTTCATCAGAAACGGCCCAGTGAACAATAGTCATCGGCTGAAGCTCATGAGGTATGTCGGTTTTTGGGCATTCGGGGTCGTTTAGATGGGTTTTTGGCCATTTTTCTATTTTCTGGAAAAAAAATTAATAAAAAAAATAAAATTTTAAAAGAAATTTGTGATGGTAGGGTTCAATTCCCATTGTTTCCAATCAAGTTTTATAGTATATAATGAATTTATATTAACATAGGTCTTCTTCCACATCGGATAAATTCATTATAGATGATTACTATAGTTTTGCCTCTAGTTATTTCATTACTTGTATTAACTCTCCAACTGAGTTACATGTTGATTGAATGAAACTAGAGTTTATAAAAGTGATATTTACCAATCTTAAATTAACAGTTTACTCTCCATCTGAGTTGGTCCTGTTTAAATTTATGGGGTTAATATCTTACATCCCTCATATATTTTGCATGAATAGTTAAGTTTCCCTAACGAATCTAACTGTTCGATGAGCATGGTTATATGTGTAATGTGCTGTTTTGAATTTAATTATTCTAAATACATAACTAATGATCTATTTAATGTGAATATCTCTCAGATTAACCATGTCTTCATTCAACCCACTTACCTCAATTTTGAACCAAAACAAGTTAGAAGGACCGAATTATGTTGACTGGAAAAGGAACCTTGATATTGTCCTAACTGCTGAAGGTTACAAATTTGTAATCACTGAGGAGTGCCCAGAAAAACCTGAAAATGCTACTGATGATCAGGTTAAGGCCTATGACAAATGGGTTAAGGCTGATGAGATGGCGTGATGTTACACTCTTGTCTCTATGGCGAATGTTTTGCAACATCAGCATCAGTCTATGGGGTCTGCTTATGATATGCTCGAAAGTCTCAAAGAGATGTTCGGTGAGCAAAATCGTGCAGCTAAGCAGACAGCCATGAAAGCCCTTTTGAACACCAAGATGGCTGAAGGATCATCGGTCAGGGACCATGTTCTGAGGATGATGAGTCTTCTGAATGAACTGGAGGTCCTTGGAGCTGTGATTGATAAGGAGTCTCAAGTTGAGATGGTCCTGCAGACTCTGCCTGACAGTTTTCAACAGTTTCGCATGAACTATAATATGAACAAAATGGATTTGTCACTAGCGAAATTGTTGAATGAGCTGCAAGCGGCATAATCTATTATCAAACAACAAGCTCCAGTTGTGGCACTCAATGTTGAGGAAAGCTTCGGTTTCTAAGTCGAAAGGCAATAAGAAAAAGAAGAAGGCTCAAAAAGTTTTGGCACCTGGTGGTGCGGCTGGTGTGAAAAAGCCCAAAGGCAAGTACTATCATTGCAAGCAACCTGGGCATCACAAGAAGCAATGCCCTGCCTATCTGGCAAAGTTGAATAAGCAAGGTAATTCAAATTTACATGTCGTTGAAACTTGTTTAGCGGTTGTTTCTACCATGTTTTGGTGTGTAGATTCGGGAGCCACTAATCACATCTGCACTACTTTGCAGGGGTTTCAGGAAACGCGGTGGCTAAATGAGAATGAAGTTTGCGTTTTTCAAGCCAATGGCGAGCCAGCACCAGCTTTAGCTTTAGGAGATATTAGAGTTTCGTTTAGTAGCGATAGAGTTTTAGTTTTAAAAGATGTTCTCTATGTACCTTCAATTAGAAGGAATTTGATTTCGGTTTCGAAAATAATGGATGCTAGTTATAATGTTTATTTTGCTAATAACTCTGCTGTTATTAAGTTTAATAAACGTTTTATCTACACTGCTGCTAGAGTACATGACCTTTTTATTCTTGATATATCTCCTCATGTGCTACAACCACCAAAAGAACTAAATAACATTAATCTACCACATAAAAGAAAACGTATTTCTGAATTGAGTCAAACTTATTTGTGGCACTTACATCTAGGTCATATAAATCTAAATAGGATTTCGAGATTGTTCTCTAATGGACCTTTGAGTTCATTAAAAGTGGAGTCTCTACCAACATGTGAATCCTGTTTAGAAGGCAAAATGACCAAGAGACATTTCCCCTTAAAAGGAAATAGAGCCAGAGATAAGCTAAAATTAATTCACTCTGATTTGTGTGGCTCTATGAATATACAAGCAAGAGGTGGTTTTGAGTATTTTGTGACTTTCACAGATGATTACTCAAAATATGGATATATTTATCTGTTGCGACGTAAATCTGAATGCTTTGAGAAATTCAAAGAATTTAAGACGGAAACGGGAAACGACATGATAAATATATCAAAACATTACGATCTGATCGTGGTGGTGAATACCTTTTTGCGGAATTCATAAAATACTTATCAGATAATGGAATTACATCTCAATTATCTGCCCCAGGAACACCACAACAAAATGGTGTGGCAGAAAGAAGAAATAGGACCCTTATGGAAATGGTTAGATCAATGTTAAGTTATTCCGATTTGCCTTTTTCCTTTTGGGGATATGCTTTAGAAACAGCAAGCTACATTCTAAATTTGGTTCCTTCAAAGTCAGTACCTTCAACTTTAGTAGAATTGTGGACTGGGCGCAAACCAAGTTTACGACATATTCAGGTTTGGGGTTATCCAACACATATGTTGAAAGGGAAAGCGGATAAATTGGAATCAAGGACAGAAGTATGCATTTTCATTGGATATCCAAAAGGAACAAAAGGTGGTTTGTTTTATTGTCCCAAAGAAAAGAAGGTAATTGTTACGACAAATGCCAGATTTTTAGAAGAGGACTATCTAACGAACCATATTCTTTGAACTAAACTAGTTTTACATGAATTAAATAATGGAGTAACTAAAGACTCATCTCTAGAACGTATCCTGGAAGCCAGTATTGACATACCACTGCATTATCGTAGTGGGAGAAATGTCAATAGGCAGCAAATTGCACAAGAGCAATTGCCTGACATCTCACTACCCCAAAGTAGTGGGAGTAATGTTGAGCAACCTCAGATTGTTGAGCAACCTCAGATTGTTGAACAACCTGAAATTGTTATGCAACCTGCACTCCAGGAAGAAGTTAATGATATCCCAGCACCGCAAGGTGTGGAGGATAACATTGAGGCTTCAGTTCCAGGAAATGATGATGTGATTCAACAACAAAATCAGCCTCCACCTGTAGTGACTAGTCGTAGTGGGAGAATTATTAGAAAATCTCTCCGGTTTGCGCTCTTGGGAGAATCTTATGATAGAATCCCTGAAGAGCCTAATACAGAACCTATTAATTACGACGAAGCACTACATGATGCAGATGCTGACAAATGGGTTGATGCTATGAAATCTGAAATGGAGTCCATGTACTCCAATCAAGTCTGGGATCTTGTAGAACCACCTACTGGAGTCAAACCCATAGGTTGTAGATGGATCTATAAGAAAAAGAGAGGAGTGGATGGAAAAGTGCAAACTTTTAAAGCCAGGCTTGTTGCAAAAGGGTTTACTCAAAAAGAAGGGATCGATTATGAGGAAACTTTTTTGCCGGTCGCCATGCTTAAATCCAATAGGATTCTCTTATCCATTGCTGCTCATTACGATTATGAGATCTGGCAAATGGATGTCAAGACCGCTTTTCTAAATGGAAGTCTTGATGAGTGCATCTATATGGCACAACCAGTTGGTTTCATAAAAAGTGGCAATGAGCACATGTTGTGTAAATTAAAGAAATCCATTTATGGATTGAAACAAGCTTCTAGGGCATGGAACACTTGTTTTGACGCATCGATTAAGACCTTCGATTTTGATCAATGTGAAAATGAGTCTTGTGTCTATAAGAAGTGGAATGGAGATAAAGTTACATTTTTGGTTTTGTACGTAGATGATATTTTGCTCATAGGAAATAATGTGAGCATGTTGAATTCAGTAAAGGAATGGTTGTCCTCACGTTTCGATATGAAAGACTTGGGACAGGCAGCACATATCCTTGGGATCAAGCTTATGCGAGATCGCAAGCAAAGGATATTAGGCTTGTCCCAAGCACTTTATATTGATACTATTATCACCGAGTTTAGCATGCAAGATTCCAAGAAAGGGTTTCTCCCTTTTAGACATGGAATCTCTCTGTCAAAAGATCAGTCCCCAAAAACGACTGATGAGACAGAAAAGATGAAGGCGGTCCCTTATGCTTCTGCTGTAGGGAGTCTTATGTATGCTATGCTATGTACTAGACCTGACATCTGCTTTGCTGTTGGCATGGTTAGTAGATTTCAGTCTAACCCTGGTCGAGAACACTGGATTGCTGTTAAGCATATAATCAAGTACTTGAAGAGGACTAGGGATTATATGTTGGTGTATCACTCAGGTGATCTTGCACCCATTGGCTATACTGATTCAGATTTTCAGTCAGATAGAGACTCTAGAAAATCTACCTCAGGATATGTTTTTACCTTAGGAGGTGGAGGCATAAGTTGGAGGAGCATCAAGCAATCATGTGTTGCTGATTCCACCATGGAAGCCGAATATGTGGCTGCATCTGAGGCAGCTAAAGAGGCTGTTTGGCTCAGGAACTTTCTGAAAGAGCTTAATGTGGTTCCTTCGGTTAAAGCACCGATTGTACTTTATTGTAACAATAGTGGTGCAGTTGCAAACTCGAAGGAACCAAGAAGCCATAAAAGGAGTAAGCATATTGAGCGTAAATATCACTTAATTCGGGACATAACTCAGAGAGGTGATGCAAGAGTGTTGAAGATTGCATCAGAGGACAATTTGGCAGACCCGTTTACAAAGAGATTGACACAGAAGATTTTTGACAAGCATGTAGAAGGAATGGGTGTTAGAGTAGTAGACGCATGGTTATGAGTCTAAGTGGGAGATTGTTGGGATATACTATTAACCATGCGATTTAGACATAGTATTATATTTTATTCTTTATGGAATAATTGTTTATTTAATTTATTCAATTCAATAAAGTACTATTTTAAATAGATCATTTGTTACATGTGTGTCCTTTTAGTTATGTGTAGACAATTTAGTGCATGGAGTCTTAGCTCATGCACAGAAGATTAAATTGTTGGTTCTCATAATTAATAAACTATGTTCACAATCAAAGATATTGTTGGACAAAATATCTTGATGATTGTAGCACAAGATTATCGTATAATTTGTCTTGATTATGGGAGTAGTTTAACTCCAGCTTCTTGTGCTAGTATACTCAGTGTATATTGAACGGACCAAGTAGAGAAAAGATATTTTTGTACTGAATATATAAAATATTTTCTCTAATTCATTAAATGAGCTTATACTCCTAATCTTGATATAATTATTATGATCAATGTAATTTATTTATTGTTTTGATTTATCAAAAGGTACGACTCTATTTAGAGTTAGTGTATGCCTATAGATTGGACAATAACGAATAAACATTTGTGAATTAATAATTAGTTGATAGAATCCATGACTCGGCTTTGAGTTTGATAATACCCCTTTATGTAAGCTTACAAGTTTTCATGTGAAAACCCGACCGGTGGATTTTTTGTCCGTCACATGAAATGGTTTAAGCGGAATTATAAAGGATTTAATTAGTTAATTAAATTAATTTTTAGTGATTTAATTTAATTAACTGGTATTTGAAATCTTAACATGGGGAGTTAAAATAAGTGATAATGAATTTTCAAAATTCATATTGAGGAGTTCAATTGCAGTTTTTTAGTGCAATAAATTGCAATTAATTATACTAAGAATTAATCATGCTAATTTCGAATTAATACTATAATTAGTAGCCTCTTATTATTTCTGTGGTCTCTGCTAAACCTAGTAAAAACCTGGACAGACTTGGGTAAAAAGTAGCTTGGGAGAAAAGTTATCCTTTTGAGTTAGAGTAGGATTCTACTTGCAGAATCCTACACGTTTTTGAGCCCCTTTTGTGGCTTAATTTCGGGTCTATTAAAGGAAGACTAGTTTCACCTAATAACTTACCTTTTAGTTGTATTGTTCTTGCCCACCCAAAAGCAAAATCATCCAAAGGTTTTACTAGGCATATAGCAGAAGACTGCAGCCTTGGATTCTTGCTGTTTGGAGGATTTGTGCAACTATTTCAAGAGGTTAGTGATTCTAATCCTATTATTATTGTGTTGTCTAGTTTACATGTATTTGATGCCTAGTTTGTTTGCTTGCTTCTGCTGTGCATGTTCTAACATGATCCACTAAAAGCGGGTTAATATGGGTCAACCCATATTATTCGATCA